CACTTGCATTATCCCAGCTGATATGTTTCTCCCTCTGAGTAAACTTTGAACTTTGCCAACCAACATCACATCTATGGGATACCTATATTTTTTCAAATATAACTTGTGCCGTACACACATCAACACTCAGCTGTTTCAATGTTCAATTCTCTCACATTCTCTTATATAATGTAAGGAGAAGAAATGCCGTGGGAATTTCAGTTTTATAATCTCACACTCTCTTTCATAAAAAGTTGTCTGTTTTTTTTTTGTCTAAAAATAAAAGCCCTTGTTAATTTCTGTTCTTGGCCAATTATTTTAATTTGTCCGTGCTTTTTCTCATTTTGCCTTGGCTCTCATTCTGGGCCGTGAAAAACGAAATGGTAAACGTCATCATATGATTTGGCTAGCAACCAACATGCTTGTCCGTCTTCCTCTTTCCTATGCCGAAGATTGTATAACGTTTTCTTTTTCATTAACAAATTTGTTCTGTTGGCAAGAAGAAATGTAATTTTTTAAAAATTATGCAATGTTTGGGACGAATAGTTGTTGAGAATAAAATTTTTTAATTTAAATATTTGAGCTTAGCAACCATTTTTACCCAATGCTGTTTTATAACGATCTTTTTTGACGACCGGCTATCTCCGACGCGCACACACACACAAGTAAACTCCCAATCATATTTTCCAAACCACGTGCTATTTCTGTCCAGCCAAATATAATTGTGTTGGGTGAAGTACCGAAGTTGTCAAGTGGTTGGTTTGGTTTTTTTTTTCGTCTGATCGGATCGTGTTTCTTGTGAAATATGATAATGAGCTTAATAACTGTCACAAGTATATGAAAAGAATACCTCATGTCTTTCTTATACATACTGACATGTGCAAATTATATGGTCATTGATCTTTTAATTTTTCAACTTTGTCTTGATTTATAAATTGGCAATTTTATTTATTGGCCGGTTCTTAATATCAAGCGAAAGTTTAACGCAATTAATATTACATGGTGTAAAACGGAGCTTAAAAATACAAAGACGCCGTCTCTCTTTTGGTATTGCCACGTGTTATGTTAGTCAACATCTCTACCTGTCCCAAATTAAAGTTATGCTCCAAAATATTGACGTTGCTCTCTTCAAGTTTCCATATGTTTTTTTATTCTCTCTGGCGTATCTTACTTGTGGGGATAAAAAGTTGTGTGAACACAATACAAACCGACTTTAAAATAAAGTAAATTACTTATAATTTAACGTTTTCACAGGATAAATAAGAGGTTTTTACAAATACGAAATACAAGGTCCAATTTTGTCGTTATCTAACATTTGGATAAATTAAAAAAAAAAAAAACACAAAATGAATATTGATGTAAAACAAAGCGGCAAACACACGATTTGCATCCATTATTTTTCAATTGTTTCGACGTCTACGTCACTGACACATTTTTGTATCTATAAAGAACCAATGCCAACATTAATTTTTCTGTCCTCTGTAAACGCAGGGTAAATTACAACAAAGGATTGAATCATAAATGATTTTTCAGACGTTGCTAAAGTGTTAAAAAAAAAAACTGCATGCTTTGCCCAAGTTTGGAATAACATTCTTGGATATATTTTAGATACATTTAAATTTAAGGCAGTTCACCTGTCAAGCAAGCAACGCCGGTTTTAAGCCACTGCTATACTAGAGACGATACATACCTACTAATTTTCTCCCATACATGCAACTCAATATAATTCAGTTCCATTTCGAAAGATTGAACATCGAATCAAAATATCAAATTTTGGAATATTAAATTAACAAAAATATTACCAGAAGGTGGCAATGAAATTTTTTCTTTTGGAAGTCGACATGAAACAACTCATTTTTATTCATAAAAATAATTTGAACAACACTGACATTGCTATTCGTCAAAGAAAAAAAAAATAACTAACGGAAAATCATTTATTTTTCTTATTATAGCAAAATGGGTAAAGACGGTGTTGCTGATCCCCTTGGATTCGTTAAGGATTTCGCTGCTGGCGGTATCTCCGCTGCTGTCTCAAAGACTGCTGTAGCCCCCATTGAACGTGTCAAGTTGCTTTTGCAAGTTCAACACATTTCCAAACAAATCAGCCCCGACAAGCAATACAAGGGTATGGTTGACTGCTTTGTCCGCATTCCAAAAGAACAAGGTTTTGCTTCATACTGGCGTGGTAACATGGCTAACGTTATCAGATATTTCCCAACCCAAGCTTTGAACTTTGCCTTCAAGGATAAGTACAAGCAAGTAAGTATATCTCTGTGGCACCAAAAAGAACCAAATTTGCCTCAATTGCGTAAAAATGTAGGAATTTCTAATGTGTTTGTATTCTTGCTAACTCATAGGTCTTCTTGGGAGGTGTTGACAAGAACACTCAATTCTGGCGTTACTTCATGGGTAACTTGGCTTCCGGTGGTGCTGCTGGTGCCACTTCCCTCTGTTTTGTCTACCCCTTGGACTTTGCCCGTACTCGGTAGGTCTTACGTTTCCAAAATATTTGTTTTCATTCCATAACAAAATTACCCACATTGAAGGACCATAAATAACTCATAATCTCTTTTTCTCCATTTTACCCACAGCTTGGCTGCTGATATCGGCAAGAGCGGTCAACGTGAATTCACCGGTCTTGGCAACTGCTTGGCTAAGATCTTCAAATCCGACGGTCTTGTTGGTTTGTACCGTGGTTTCGGTGTATCCGTACAAGGTATCATCATCTACCGTGCTGCCTACTTCGGCTTCTACGATACTGCTCGCGGTATGTTGCCCGATCCTAAGAACACCCCCATCTACATCAGCTGGGCTATCGCTCAAGTTGTTACAACTGTTGCTGGTATTGTATCCTATCCATTCGATACTGTCCGTCGTCGTATGATGATGCAGTCTGGTCGCAAGGCTACCGAAATCATCTACAAGAACACATTGCACTGCTGGGCCACCATCGCCAAACAAGAAGGTACCGGTGCCTTCTTCAAGGGTGCCTTCTCCAACATTCTCAGAGGTACTGGTGGTGCTTTCGTACTTGTGTTGTACGATGAAATCAAGAAATTCTTGTAAATTAATTCAATTACCAACTCTACCTACATCTACAGTTAATAAATATTTTAATTTAATATTAAATTTATTTAAATTTAAAAAACACAATCCCATTGTAATTTAATTGAATCAATTTTCGCAAAAACAAGAATAATATATGGGGTGTTGTACCGTAACATCATCAACACACCCCTACAAAAAACACACTCCCAACACACTGAAAGCTATACCTTAAGCAAAATCATGCTGCAAATCTATGTTGTAAGAACAAAAACAAATACGTGTTCTAAATTTCGAGTAAACGACCGAAAGTATTGTTAAGCTCTTAAGTGTATCGAAATGAAATCAAATAACAAAACACACAGACACAAGAAGTCAAAAGAAGTATAAAACAAAACGATAAATTAATTTTGATGATAGCAAAGGACAGTTACAAACCAACCAATAACTACCAATACTTAGTATGTGTTCACACAGAAACAACAAACTAAGGTTTAAAACAAATAAAAAACTATATAAAAATAGTAAAAAAAAATATTTTTTCTTTTCATTTTTGATCAATCGTCGGGGAGGGAATTGAGTTGGAGGGGTTTAGGAATATGACCCGTTTGCCATAACGTGGGTGGCACATAACCTTATGGCGTCTTTGGCATTAGGTCTGTTTTTTTACTTTTATTGCAGGAAGTGTACAATTTCTTTCTGGGGAAGAAAAGTTGTTTTGTTTACACCTATTACGGAATCAAATGGGAGTTACCATTCACAAAGGTATTGCGAATTCCCATTCACAAAATAAACTGTCATTCACATTAATTTGCTATTACCAAATTATGGGAACAAATAAAAATTCCCATACAATTTCAAAGGGAATAAATGTTAGCCAAGTGCATGGTATAATAATATTCTTCTACCATTGGTAAAGTGAAAACAAAAATTCATTCCCATTTCGTTTTATAATACTGGAATTCACATTCGAACATTGTCATTTGGGGAAAACAAAATTCATAATAAAAACAATGGGAAATGGGATCAAAATTTTCAGAATAGGTGTGATTATCTTTTCCGATAAATCTACAAAAAGAGACACATTTCTTCCCTTAATAAAAGTTTTCCTAGAACAAGAATTGAGGCCCAGATGAACCCATGACACAATTATATATATAGCCGCTGCAACACAGCTGGGTGGTACAATGAACTGTCAAAACAAAATTTTAAATAAAAATTGTTTTAATTAGTTAATTTTGATGACATATCAATAATAGTTCAAAAGAGAAATTTTGACAATTCTTTCACTGAGATTTTGCAAATTCTTGCATGTAACTTTTCTTCTTCTTGTGTGCATATCCGGTGTTTTTTCAGTAATTTGGAACAATTTTTATTTTGGGCCTCACATCCTTTTGTTTTTGGAAAACAAAGCTGTGGGTATTCTTTCTATTTTGGCTCATTCAATTTTTTTAATAGAATACAAATTTTTCTTTTTATCCTTTCTTCCTTATTGTGGCACATAAATTAATTTGTTTTGAAAAATTAGCAGATTGCTTCCCTGTTTGCAGGAAAAATAATCAGACGAACCTAATGTGTACAAATTGCTTAATCAACGGTTATTCAAAAAAGAAGAAGAAAATACGTGACTGCCAGTAGAAATTTGTCTGGAAAGAATTTGCAAAAGAACGGTCAACGGTTCCCTCAAATCGTTTTTTTAAAAACCTTTAGATATACAGACGACTTCCAGCAACAATTTGTATACAATATATATTTGTTGAATGCTCAAATCTTCTCGTTTTCCATTGTCACAGAACAAGAGCTAAGTACCAGGTCTATGAAGACAAATAATCGTAATGTCTGCAAGCCCGAGAAAAAGTGAAACATTTTTGCATTTTAAAATGAATATGCTGATGCAATTGCCATACTGCAATATTAAAGTATCACTTGTATTCAACGAGTACCCAATGAGCAACAACAGCTGTCAAAACGTGTACTCGGTACCTAAAAAGACAACGCTGTATGTTGACTTTGCAAAAATTTCGTCTTGTCATAGGAATTGGTAGCGGCACAGAATATACAATAGAATTTTATTCCAACAAGGATATTGGTAATTTTAATTATTTAAATTATTCATAATGACCGTCACAAAGCGGGTAAGTTATATGTGCATCCAAAACTATGGAAGTTAGTCTACGTATTAATTACTTTTAGATGGACATTGATGCCGTATGTAAGGGCGAAGGCTTTCGCTCATACTACATACAAAAAATTGAAGAGCTACAATTGATCGTTGCTGAAAAGTCCCAAAATCTAAGACGTTTGCAAGCTCAGCGTAACGAACTCAATGCCAAGGGTAAGCTGGAACGTATTTAACCAAAAAACGATAGTTGAGTTATTTATTTTTTTAGTTCGCATGTTACGCGAGGAACTCCAGCTGCTACAGGAACAAGGCAGTTATGTGGGTGAAGTTGTCAAGCCAATGGACAAGAAGAAAGTCTTGGTGAAGGTACACCCAGAGGGAAAATTCGTTGTCGATATCGACAAGAATATCGACATCAATGATGTGACACCGAATTGCCGTGTTGCTTTGCGCAACGAAAGTTATACTCTACACAAAATCCTACCAAACAAAGTTGATCCTTTGGTTTCTCTTATGATGGTGGAAAAGGTGCCTGATTCAACTTATGAAATGGTTGGTGGTTTGGATAAGCAAATTAAGGAAATTAAGGAGGTCATTGAATTGCCAGTCAAACATCCTGAACTGTTCGATGCTTTGGGTATTGCTCAACCTAAGGGTGTATTGTTATATGGACCTCCTGGTACTGGAAAGACCTTACTTGCTCGTGCAGTAGCCCATCACACAGAATGTACATTTATACGTGTTTCGGGCTCTGAATTAGTACAGAAATTCATTGGTGAAGGTTCACGTATGGTTCGTGAATTGTTCGTCATGGCCCGTGAGCATGCTCCTTCCATTATATTCATGGATGAAATCGATTCCATTGGTTCCTCACGTATTGAATCCGGTTCTGGTGGTGATTCTGAGGTACAACGTACTATGTTGGAATTATTGAATCAATTGGATGGCTTTGAGGCCACCAAAAATATTAAGGTTATCATGGCCACAAATCGTATTGATATTTTGGATCCTGCCCTCTTGCGTCCTGGTCGTATTGATCGTAAAATTGAATTCCCACCACCAAACGAGGAAGCTCGTCTGGATATTCTTAAAATTCATTCACGTAAAATGAACTTGACTCGCGGCATTAATTTGAGAAAAATTGCCGAACTTATGCCTGGTGCATCGGGTGCTGAGGTCAAGGGTGTGTGCACAGAGGCTGGTATGTATGCGCTGCGTGAACGACGTGTCCATGTGACACAGGAAGATTTTGAAATGGCTGTGGCCAAGGTAATGCAAAAGGATTCCGAAAAGAATATGTCGATTAAGAAATTATGGAAGTAAGATATGCTTATGTACAATTAAATATATCAATATTTCATCTATTTACTAAAATTTAAGTTTGTATTTCGTTTGCTTTAAATTTGTAATAAAACAAGTAATCATTTTTAAGTTAAGAAATTGAACATTAAGTAGCTCTTATTGGGGAGATATGTTCTTGCGGAAGTCCATAATTTTCAAAACTTTTGCTTCCAAATTTACAATAGAGCAGGGGTTCGATCATGCCAGTAGCTAAATTTTAACTGATGGACGCGAAATTGTTTATTGAACGGCATTGCCCAGCTCTGAGAATTTATGGCCCATCGTGTTTATCCTCCAAGAGATAAGTATTGGGGGAAGTAAAGACAATATATGAGAGCGAGCTAGAGAATAGATACAGATAATGGGAAAATATGAAAGGGTGGATGATTAGAGGGAATTCAACACTCCTCTATCGAGGAAATTTCGTAGAATTGGTCTTGGAATCATTTAAATTCATTAACCGTTTAAAGGATGAGTGTTGGTTCCACCTAGCGGAAGAAGATTAGGGCTTGAATCTTTGCTTTCTTTTTCTTTGTCCTGATTTGTTCATAGGTCTTAAAAAAACTTATAAAATGAAATTTTTTTGGCAACCCGGCTATGGAAATAAGCCTGGGCTGAGAAATTGAATACTAAATACTACCGTTAAAATAAATGTACGGAATTTCATAAATCCCTTGCTCGCTGTATGCAGGTTCGTTCATTTATGTTTTTTTTTTTAACAAAAACAAGTCGTATTCTGTATCCAATTAAGATAAAAGAGATTCAACATCGATCATCCCAAGTTATTATTTGGAGCTGATTACATAAAACATAATATCCTCCAGTAATTTTCTGTAGGACCTAAAGCCATTTATCAATTCATTTTACACTCTTTAAAGAAATAATTTCTTTGTGTATGTAAATTCTGGTTTTATTTTTTATTAAACATTGTAATTAAACGAATGTGTTATGCTCTACATATATATCCAAGAATTGTATGTTTTATTACTAAAAATAGATTCCTTTCTTAAGTTTAACTTAATACAGAAGAATGACTAGAAGTTCGATTTTTTGTTGATGTTGCTTCATATTTACTTGTTTCATGGAAACGAATGACTAGAGAAGTGTAAATCAGTTAACTGATTGTGACGTCTGATCGTGCTCAAACACCGGTCGTATTTTTTCAGAAGTTATTCCATTTTATATCTGAAATGACCGATCAGTTGGTCCACGTCCAACAAGAGCTTCATGCAAGCGGGTATATAGTAGACTATCCGAGGGTATGCCTTGACGTTGTAGAAATAATATAGTTTCCTGGGCACACATGGCATAGCCTAATGCTTCTGCTTCCTGATCAGACATGACATGTTGTTGTTGATGATGGTCGTCGTCTGTATCATCTTCATAGTTTTGAAAATCGTCTTCAAATTCATCCAATTCTCTTTGCAGTTCCATTACTTTCGATTGTATTGCTTCGAGAAGTTCCCGATTGCGTTGATTATTTAAAATGTCTTCATGGGTTGGTTCACGACCATCTAGGTGCAGTCGACGTATTTCCTCGTCTTCTGGTTCGGGTGGGGGAGTGTCACAACGCAGACGTTTACTTTGTTGCAGAGATGCTGAGAAATCCGTTTCATTGTTTAAATTATTTTCGTTTCTTTCAGTGCGGCTAAGTTCTGATGATGGTCTTCTGCTGTTACTTCCACTAACAACTTCGCTTCCCTGTTCTGATCCAATTGATTGTGGCTCTGGTGCCGGTGGAGTCTGTTGTTTATCCAATTTTCGTTTCATTATTAGTTTTCCCGACATTTTTAAGTAATTGTTTTTAATACAATTCTGTTTATCCTTTGAGTAGTGAGTGTTGTGTTCACGAGCACGTCCTAAAACCGACTGACTTGCATTGCCCTGTCTGCCAAGGGAGATAACTTGTGCCCTAAGTTTGCTTCCCTGCATTCGTTATACCCATTAACCCCAAGTGCAGTAATAGCAACAGAGTTGGCATGGAAGTATAAGGGTAAACGGCTAACATCCCCTGAAAACATCTTCCTACATTTTGGTTGTTTTTGTTGGTAGATAGAGGAAATGAAAGACACAAAAAATTTAACAGCTGAGACAGATGTTTGTATTTATGTCAGCGCCAGCAGAACCTGGGTAGAGTATTCATCGTTGAAGACGACGACAGTTGGACTGCAGCGACAGCAGCAGAAAAACCAAACTCAAAGTGGATCAAGCAAATGGTGCGTGTGTGTGTTGCAACACAGTGGTGGATGTTCTTTCGGAAACAACCCCTTGTAGGTTGATGATCACGATGATCGTTACAACAAAAACAATATCAAGGTACACACACACTTACACATCATATATGGCAGACTGCCGGTTATCTCTTTTTGCTGTTGCCGGTCGGCATTAAAGTAGCAGCTGTTTGCTTCATGCAACATTCTGCGGAAATAAACGCTACACCTATCTTTGAATGCAAACAAGTTTATTTTTCTTTCCCTTCTTCGTGGTTCATTGAGACTAGGTGTTATGTTGTAATAAAGTTCATTTAGGATTAGTTAAATCAAAAACGTTTAGGAATTACAAAAAATAAGTTTTTGGGGGTTTTCAAATGTACACCTGTTATAATATACAGGGTGAGATAAAAAAAAACTGTAACAAAGTCAAACGCCATAATGCTTACATTTTTTTTTTAATTTTATTGAATGAAAGCAAAAAATGTCGGAAATAGCATCAAATTTTAGAAAAAGTTTAGATTTTTTAGAATTGTCCACGAATTATGGCTTTCAAACGGCCAATGAAACCGTCACACGCTGCCCGAATGTTGCTCTGCGGTATTTTGGTCCATTTCCGGCGAAGCGCTTGCTTGAGGTGATCGACACTTTGGTAACTGTTAGTGCCAACTTTGCTTTCCAAAATCCTCCGACGGATTGTGCGCTGAAAATGAAGCGAGAAACCTCATTTTGTAACCATTCTTGGGTGGCGCGGTGCGGTTTGATGTTGCTGAGTCCTGTTGGAATGTCCAAGGTCTGCGGCCAAAATGTTTGCGTGCCCAAGGCTTTAATACACACTCCAGAATGTTTTCGAGATAATATTCGGCAATTATTCTGACGCCACGATCGATTAATTCGAGCGGAGAGCGACCATTGGCTGTTATGGGGGCCCACATCATCACCATGTCCGGCGCTTGGGTTCTGGTGGCCAACCGAAGGTGCACATTTTCAGCTAACCTCTTTGGCAAGTAAACACGATAATTTTGTTTGTTTACAAACTGCTGGATAACGAATGTTTTCTCATCGAAGAACCAAATTCTGCAGTTCACCACTCTCGGGCAAGCTCTTTTGAGTTTATTTTCTTTCTTTTGCGGTGTAAGTTCTTGGACTTTTTGGAATTTCCATGGCTTTACCCCGAGCTTTTTTCAATATTTGGAATATTGCGATATGTTCAGCTCACGAACCATTTTTCGGCAACTGCGACGCGGGCTTCGATCAAGTCGATTCTTTACTTTTCGAACCATTTCTGCTGATGTTGCTGTTTTCTTCAGTCCACTTCCTTGACGTCGGGCTATGTTACCAGTATCACGGTAACGAGCGATAGTATGAGACACAAAAGATTTATTCACATTTAAATGCTGGAGTGCTCTAACGATAGCCACTTGTGGTTTTCCAGCCAAATAAAAAGTAATCACACTATCACCCTTAAATTCCATCACGAATAACTTTTTTCTGAAAAATTCTCATCAAAATCCTTTGGTGCGCTTGTAAACAATATAATGAGCTGTCACTGGAATAATTTTAACAGCTGCCGGACAAGTGGCTTAGAAATGACAGCAGTCTGAAGTTGATTGCAGTTTTTTCATATCACCCTGTATGTATATCCATATAAATTTCTTGGAAACACATCCACAATAATGTTAAGTAGAATAAAGTCCGTCCATTAAGAGGTACGGAACGAATCCAGAATGCAATCTAAATTATTTCAAGTCCATATGCTGCAGGAAGTCCCCATGCATAATGCAGGGAGTCCTGTGTAAGAGACTGAGTTCACAAGTTATACATTAGGTGTATGTTACTGTTGCACTACTCGCCTAATAGGAACAAAACAACTAAGGTGCAAAGGGTCTCGTCCTATTGATTTCCGGAAGTACTCCTCAATTAGCGGATTCGATAGTAAGATTTCCAGTCTATGGTTCTTTGGGTAAATTTCAAGCTCGGAAATCAGGGACATGGCGCTCACCATATTCCGACCGTGCTGAGACTATATAACATGACCATACACTTAGATTTTTAACCTAAGTTCTAAGCAGAGTTTTTTCAAGCTAACGTTCTAGCATACAGGAAGGCATCCAAGTTACAATATTACAGTTATATTGACATTCAATTTTCACTTGGAAAACAAAATCGAAAATGTATGTGGGCATTTGGCCGATCTGTTGTATATTTCTATCTATTTGTTCTGTCGATCCTAATTCCGTTTTAAGTCTGCAGGAACGTTTTCTAGCTAAAATTTTTAAACTTTAATGTAGCTCAAACGATATTCGCTGTCTGACACCGAATACTTTCGTTAATTGTTCCTACAAGTAACGACACACGCAAATTCTTTTCCTTTTTCATTGCTTTCATATAAACGTTTGTTGTTGTTTTTGTTATTCCTGTCTTTTATCGTTTATAGTCATTATTAAAACAAAATGCCACGCGACCATTGCACATGGAAGCTTGGTATGATTTCCAACCCCTAAAATAAGAAAATTAAATTTATTTTACCACAGCACATACATATATATGTATGTATGTATAGATCACTTGAAAAATGGTATTTTATATTGAACATTTAATTATCGATAAAGATATAGTGGTGTGCGCCACTTTTCCAACCCCTCCCCCTAACAGTTGAATTCAAGTTTATTTGATCGTGGTATCCAAGATATGTGGATGTACGAAGAGGGGTATTCATGTTATTCTTTATTCAGCCACTGTAATATCAAATGTCCTCTGTAGTCTTCCCCCTCTTTGTTTACTTTTTATGAATGTCTGTTTTACTTCCTTTGGCAGATGCATTTTATTTCCTTACTACCTCCTCGTTATTCGAAAGAGTTTTGTTGAGGAAAGATACATAAACAGAAAACAATCACAACATCCGTATAAAAGGCAAGAAGAAAAAAAATCAAAGTAGGGCTATATGGAGGAGATGTTTTTAATTTTGGAAGAAGTATTTCAAGATCAAATATAATGTTTTTATCACATGATGTTTTAAACCATATATTAGATTTAGTACAACATGAATGTAAGAGTAGCTGATACAAAGGTGAATGAACGAAAAATATCATTCAAAAATATTTTAAATTTGTTAAAAGGTACAAACAATTGACAAACTCACTTGGAATAGCGTTTTTCTTTAACATATACATTCACATCATGATTTACATCGTCATAGAGAAACAGGTTCTTAATCTAATACGACAACGTTTGGCTCAAAATTGTGGAGAAATTCTATCCTTTAAATCATCGATATACAACACCATGTCTTTTTTTTACTTTTTTATTAAAATAAATTAGCAAAAATTACTTATTATATTCTCTATGGAATAATTATTTCTCGTATTATTGCAACAGTGACAGTACCGATGAATCTGCAACGTCTATGCAAGATTTCCCATCAATATCCAAGGCCATTTTATCAGCACCGTATTGTAGAAGAAGACGCACACATTCGGCATGACCGCATGAGGCAGCATAATGTAATGCAGTTTGTTGATCTTCAGCATCACGTAAGTCCACCGGACAACCCGACGATAAAAGTAATGATAATATTGTAACATCATTTGCATCTGTGGCCCAATGTATGAGACCCAGACCGGTATCATCCAATGTTTCCAAATCACTCTTGTTAAGTAGTTGTTCTACTTTGGAAAAATTACGGTCTTTAACAAAATCGAATATGGTTTTGTCTTCTTCTGGCTTTTCTTCATTATCGGCGGGAGGTAACTCAATGGAATGTACTACCCAGCCAGTACCACCTCCACCGTCAGATTTAACGCCTTTTTGTACATCATCATACCATTGCGGAAATAGTTCTTTTACTTTTTCCACATAACGTTTTTTGGCTTCTTCCGAGGACATAGAACCTAATTCTTGCCATGCCGACCATTTTGCTCGGGCCTGCATATTGAAAATGTTTGGTTTCGAGGCGTTACATTCTCCTACGGTAGCTTGTTTGAAGAGACCATATAACTGCAACAAATCATTGGGAACAATTTTGTCATGGGTCTTTTGCACCTGTTGTGTTGCCTTGGTAAATATGACGTCCTTTTCATCGTCGACATCATCAAATTCCCAATCACTGTCTGCTTGTGAATCCATTATTTTGCTGTTTTCGGCTAATTTACTTTAATTTAGATACTTTATTTTTATGGTTAATCTTATGGGAATCTAGTTTGGTAATGGTGGGGTTTTTCTATGTTTTTTGTATGTTCAAATAGTTGCCTTCCAATGAATGTTTCTGTTCGTTTTCAATGGCTTGCACTGTCTTAAGGCTGGTCAATGTAACAAATCCATAACCTCGCGATAGACCGGTCTTCTTATCAAACACAACATTGGCATTGATGACACGGCCAAATTCCTTAAAGTATCCTTTCAATTGTTGATGACTAACTGTCCAAGGCAAATTACCTACAAATAATCTGTAAACGCTTTTTGTTGCCTTTGTTGCTGTGGCCATTTGAGGAAAGTTGATTTGTTGCTCGGGTTTAAATGATTTGCTGCAAGACAATTTTTAATTAATTTTTAATTTATAAATTATAAAATTTAATGGAATTTACCTATTGCGTAAAGGTCTGGAAACCAGAGAAATATGTTTTTTGTTTGTAAATGCTATTGCATATGGGCGATATGATTTTTCCCCCAGTTGCCCCAAATTAGAGGTTAGAACAAAGTTTTCATCTGTCAAGTGAACAGCTGCGTATCAGTTTGAGTTACTTTGTAGAGATGGCGTTGCATCATTAAAAATCTTCTCATTACGGAGAGTGAACGTAATGAAACGAATCTATGTTAATGCAGAATGGGGGATGAGTTGGAAAATATATAATTTTGAATTTATTACTATTTCAAGAATGGTAACTTTTAGGGTAAAAGTCATAGGGACCATGTTAAAGATATCTTCAACTATTGTTTCATCTATTAATAAGGGCTTTTACAACTTTACTGGCGATTGTAACCCCAGCCCCTGCAAAAAATCGTTGTTTGGTGATTTGAACACTTTTTATTTCTATTTTGATTTGACAACTATTCTTTTTTTTTTAGCAATATAATCTAAGTAATCTACTTAAAGACATTTATAACCAGTCATACATTAAACTCAATAATAAACTAAACATTTTTTAATTACGAAATAAAAATTAATGTATATTTTTAAAAATGATAACAAGTCAAATAATAGTAATTATTTTTCAGAGTTAGTTAAGATCTGTGCTCGACATTGCATTTACATTTGACACATTGGCGATTCCCTGGGCTTTATTAAATGTCCGTTTTTCTTTTTGAGCATTATACAAATTATCCAATGCTGTGACTAGGGATCCTTGATTTATCATATAATCCAAGATGTTTAAACGTTCACGATTCTTTTCTATAGTTCCAAATAGATGTGAGTATGAAACGTTTTCAATTGGTAAATAATACTTTAAAACATTATAGCTGCGTTTTCTAGAAATATTCAAAAGTATAAAAATTAATCAAAATCATTGTTCCGTCGTCTTATTTAACTTTTTGGTCCTATTGGTTCGAATTGATATCAGCGGAGATGGGTTTTGGCAGATTATAGGTTATGTAATTCATATATTTCAGTGTTTGCAAATATACTTACATTAGTTCGGATTCGGTATGTAGAAACGCTATGAATCTCTTGTTAAGTAGTTGTTCTACTTTGGAAAAATTACGGTCTTTAACAAAATCGAATATGGTTTTGTCTTCTTCTGGCTTTTCTTCATTATCGGCGGGAGGTAACTCAATGGAATGTACTACCCAGCCAGTACCACCTCCACCGTCAGATTTAACGCCTTTTTGTACATCATCATACCATTGCGGAAATAGTTCTTTTACTTTTTCCACATAACGTTTTTTGGCTTCTTCCGAGGACATAGAACCTAATTCTTGCCATGCCGACCATTTTGCTCGGGCCTGCATATTGAAAATGTTTGGTTTCGAGGCGTTACATTCTCCTACGGTAGCTTGTTTGAAGAGACCATATAACTGCAACAAATCATTGGGAACAATTTTGTCATGGGTCTTTTGCACCTGTTGTGTTGCCTTGGTAAATATGACGTCCTTTTCATCGTCGACATCATCAAATTCCCAATCACTGTCTGCTTGTGAATCCATTATTTTGCTGTTTTCGGCTAATTTACTTTAATTTAGATACTTTATTTTTATGGTTAATCTTATGGGAATCTAGTTTGGTAATGGTGGGGTTTTTCTATGTTTTTTGTATGTTCAAATAGTTGCCTTCCAATGAATGTTTCTGTTCGTTTTCAATGGCTTGCACTGTCTTAAGGCTGGTCAATGTAACAAATCCATAACCTCGCGATAGACCGGTCTTCTTATCAAACACAACATTGGCATTGATGACACGGCCAAATTCCTTAAAGTATCCTTTCAATTGTTGATGACTAACTGTCCAAGGCAAATTACCTACAAATAATCTGTAAACGCTTTTTGTTGCCTTTGTTGCTGTGGCCATTTGAGGAAAGTTGATTTGTTGCTCGGGTTTAAATGATTTGCTGCAAGACAATTTTTAATTAATTTTAATTTATAAATTATAAAATTTAATGGAATTTACCTATTGCGTAAAGGTCTGGAAACCAGAGAAATATGTTTTTTTTTTTTTTTTTTTTTTTTGGACTGTCAAGCGAGCTCTCCTATGTTGTAGAGAGCGTTGGCGATCCTCAGGATACAAAAAGCCAGGTTGTACTCCAAATTAAGGTAAATTTGTAGAAAGTCACCTCAAGTCCAATAAGTTTATTTTTCAAAATGATTCGCCAAATTACTCCACTCCAAAGAATTTATTTTCCCAACTGGTAGGTCACTAGTGAAATCGATTACAATCCAATCAGCGTTTATCCCAACATGGATTGCAAAGTCCAGTCCAATGCTTTTATTTTCCAAAATAGTTGGCCACTCTTGAAAACGATTACAAACCAATGAGCGTTTGTTGCAAAATGGATTGCCCATATAAATTTTCCGATTACTGCAAATACAGTATAAAAATGGTGTAAAAAGAAAACGATAGTACATAAGTACAAATGTCGAATTGTAGTTCAATTTTGTTTGCTTATTTGATATTGTAATATTTATATGAAAAGGTTTTTAACTCACGACACCTGGTTGAGAGGTAGTTTTACTTGCGTGACAGATGCAGGACACCACAGACGTAAAAAGACAAAATGTGCCCGTTCAGCAGCTATGAGGTCCAAGCGATCAGGAATATCCCAATTGTGAGTCCAGTTGTGATCCAAAGGTTAGAATTCCTGTCTGCAAATTGCACAAGGAAAATAAAGGGCCAAAAGTGGGGAATGGGATGGGATAATATCAATTAGTCAACATCCATTAAAAATAAGAAAGAAAAAAAAAAGAAGGAAAAAAAAAAACAAAACTTAAAACTAATATCACAGCTTTGTTTATCACAGATGATAGAAAGTGTTCATAAACTGATTTTGGTTTCTTTCAGGAACATTAGGAGAAGGTTGTATAGGTTGTGGTCTTTGGATTGCAGTAAAGGGATTAGTCCATGGTATTTAGGGAACAGGAGGGGATATTTTTTCCTTATGTTGTTGAATCTTACGCAATCAAAAATCAAGTGGTGAGCGGTTTCCTGCGCTGCGCATGTCTCGCACAAGTTCGAGTCTGCAGCTCCTATCCGGTGTAAATACTTTTTGTCACTGGTATGGCCGGTAATCAGTCTGTTTATTAGCTTAGTATTGCTAGACTCAAAATTCATTTTTGAAAACCATGGCTTTTCATATATGTTGTTTATAATCTGAAAGAAGTGACTGCCTTTTGATTCGGATAGTCTTATAAATTCTTCATTCCAGTCATCTTTCACCAGATTTTCGATTCTGGAATACGCCTCTTCAGGTGTTAAAAATACCTCTACAGGAGCACCAACTAGAGAGGCCTGTTTGGCTAGCAAGTCAACCTCTTCGTTGATTCTAATGCCTCTGTGCGCAGGGATCCAGACAATGTGACATTTTTCAATAGAGGATCTTTCCAAAATATTGTGACATTCAGCAACCAGATAATTTGTCGAATCAGCTGAATTTAAAGCCTTGCACGCTGTAAGGCTATCTGTGAAAATAACACATCTGTTATAACCGTCCTCAGTCGCAATTTCCAGAGCCTTTTTTATGGCAAAAAGTTCTCCAAACATTGACGAGGCCTTGAAGTCAATTTTGAAAAGGAATTTGAAGTCTTTTGTAGCATTGTAAACCCCGCATCCAGTGGACTCAATGTTTACCGAGGCATCTGTTGCAAAAATACAAATTGATTACTTTTATAAAAAGACAGCTCGCAATTAAAGGCAGAGAAAATGACCTCATTAGGCGTAATGTTTTTCGTGGATGGTAATAGGTTAGTTCTTACCGTCAGGTTTCTTTGATTTTTGTATGAAGTAATCTTGATTTTTCTAAAGATGTATTCAAATTGATGATAGATGACGCTGTAGCTTGATTTGACGAGAGGGTTGTTTCAATTATGTCAGATAAGTCATTATTTTCCAGCTTGATCTTAAGTATCTCCTTTGCGGTGAGGAGTTTGGCTCTATACTTAGGAGGCAATTCTCCAGCTAGGGCATATATAACGTGATTAGGTGTCGATCTACTAACCCCCAGGGATCTTCTTATCATCTCATTTTGAAGTCTTTCGATATTGTTATTGACATATTTTGGTGAGTTGGCAGTCGTAGTTCTACCATAGTCTACTTTCGCTCTCACAAGGCTTTTGTATAAATTCAGAGACACTTTTGGATGTAGGCCTCCTTTAGGGGGGGTAAGGCATTTGAGCAGTCTGGTTCTGTTGCTTACTGGATCCTTGATATGTGAATAGTGATCTTTGACCGATAAGGAATTTGAGATAATTCTGCCCAAAAATTTCATTTTTTTCACCTGTTCTATTCTACATCCATCTACGTTTAGTAGAATTTGTTTGGTACTATTTTAGCAAAATAAATCGTCTTCGACTTTTCTGGATTGAAGGATAGATTTATATTACCGCATTTCCTTTGAAAAGCCACTGCCTTAGTTTGTAGGTGTTGTAAAGCCATGTCAAAATCGTGATCAAAGACCATCAAAAGGAAGTCGTCTGCATATTGAAAATTAATGTTTTATTATCTTCCAATTTATGAAGATTTGCTGTGTAGATGTTAAAGAGCAGAGGAGATAGACAGCTTCCTTGTGGTAAGCCGTTTTTCACCACAACTTCTTTGTCACCCAGTCTCAGAATCCTTTTGATAGAAAGTTTATTATCCAATTCACAATTGATCCGTTGAAGTTGAGCTTTCTCAAGATTTGCCCGAGAATATCCACTCTCACGCAGTTGTAGGCATTATTTATATCCAACGACAGAACTAGTACTTTATAGTTGTTGGCCTTTAGCAGTGCAACGCGGTGAAGGAATTCATTTAAGCATGTAGATGTAGACCTACTTTTCCTATATGCAAAAGATCTCGCTGGAATAACTTCCTTATCATCAATGAATTGTACTAGCTTATCTTTAAGCATTAGATTGATGACTTTCATAAAGACAGAAATGAGAGATATTGGGCGATAATTTGACATGTCGGTTAAATCCTTGTTAGGTTTGGAATTGGGACTATTTTAATAATCCTCCAGTTGTCCTTGATTGAGTTCTCTAAAAGGCATTATATAGAGCTGTCAGAATAGCTCTTTTAGAAATGCCGGGTAACGCCTTGATCATTTCGTATGTTATTTTGTCATGCCCTCCGGCAGACCCTTTTTTCTTTTCCGATAATATTTTCTCAAAGTGATCAAAGTCAAAAATGATTTTGTCCTGGAAATTGTGTTGATCACTATAGCTAGGTACTTCTAGCAAATCACCAGGTACTTGGTCTTTGAGATACTGAAGAAAGTGACCGCTCCGGTCATTATTCCATGGTCTCGCCTCCGCAGACTCTCTGTTCCTTACATTGTTAACAAATCTCCAAGCTTCTCTTGGATTTGCATTTCTGTTAAGTTCATTGATTTTGGAGAGAAAACTATCATTTTTTGCCGTTTTGACCTTCATTTTCCAATTCTCTACCTCTTGACTAGCTTTAGATAGTTTTGATAATTAGGATATTTCCTTGCTTTCTTTAAAGCTGCAAGTTGATTTCGGTAAGCAACACTCAAGGAATCATTCCACCAATACTTGGGTGATCTATTGGCACTTAGATTGTTAGATGCAGCTTTTATTTCTGAACTTATTGCATCCTCTATAGCTAGCATGTCAGGTTCTAGCTCTAACTCACCAGTGCTTTCATTAATTTTGCTTTGTGTAAGAAGTTCTGGCCTTTAGGCTTATCCGCTTTAATTTCAAAGGTAATTGGTAGATGACGGCTGCCCCCAAAATGTCCATCCAGAACATTCCAGTTACCCCCAGACACGTTGCTGAGAAAGTTAGGTCAGGAACTGATCCCTGGGAGTTGGACCCACCTTTAAAGGTTTTTTTACCATTATTGAGACATAGATAGCCAGCTTCAGTAATCAACATACGCAGTCCCTGCCTTTAATGGAAGTGAGATATCTCCCCAGGCTTCATTGCGGGCATTGAAATCGCCACATAATATTACATTCTGAAAGTTTTCCAAGAAGAGAAGCAGCATTTCGAAACTTCCTCAATAAAACAGTATTTGAGGTTGTTGGTGGAAAGTACACCGAGACGATGACGACATTCTCTGTAGGTTTGAGGTTTTGATTATCAGGATGTCATAATCAGTATCATATTCTATTATTGATATATTTATTTTCTTTCTTACTCCTATGGCCACTCCTCCATAGCCGTCAGGTCTGAATTTTTGCACAAGATTGTAATTGATTAGTTTTTCTGCATCTCTTATCTTCTGAAAAAATTTCAGATAAAATTATGATCATAGTGTTTTTGTTAGCAAAGAATTCAATGAAGTTTTGTTATTCTTAAAAGATTGTATATTATATGGAGAATTCTTAATTTATTCAACATTATCATTTGAGATGTATTATTGTTATTACCTTAATGTTACTCCGCATTTTGAATCCTTTGTTGGAAATGTTGAATAGCTCACTGCCACTTGATTTCATCCTTTTGAAAAAATCGTACATAAATTT